CCCTCTTTAGCATCCTTTGGATTCTGTACCTACACAACTCCCCATCTATGTTTTCTATTAAGCACCAAACAATATGCAGCCAGAAAAACATATTTTCTGGTATCTGATCAGTTTTCAGGTAGAGGAAGAAAAAGAAAAAAAGAAAAGAAAACGCCTAATACAGACAGGTGGCCTCCCCCCAATTCTTCCTGTTGTGTAAAAATCTTACCTGTTCTTTTGGCTTTGTAGCTAATGAACCTTATCGCAGCATAACAGCTGCTGCCACTTTGTTAAAAAAAAATAAAAATACCATTACAAAACCATGCAAACTGGAAATAACCCAGTGGCACCATGCAAAAAGTCAAACTACAGGAAAAAAAATGCTGTGCAAAGAATTCCTCTGAGGAAAAAGTCCCAAGCTTGACCTGCGTAACATGCTTGGCTTTACATGAATGAGCGCATTTGCTTAAGCGTGCAGGTACCTGGGAAAAGGGCTCATCATCCGAGCTGGGGAAGTCGTACTGGTTTAGGTCCTTGGCGTTGAAGACAACCGGACCTGTATGGTGGGGTGTGCCTGATGATGGTGGCAGCACCTTCGGCTTCTTCTCATACTTCCTTTTCTGCCGGGGAACTTCTGTCTTCTCAGGCTACAAGAGGGAGAGCGGCCAAACTCAATGACACTGCAGAGGCACTTTAAAGTACACCTTTAGAGACCGCAGCTCAAGGGCAGCCTTTTATCTTGCGCAGTTTTCCTCTTAAAATATTCATTATATTAACTTTTCATACCACCATTTTCACTTTTCCTTCTTGGTTGCATTTTAAGCAGGTCAGTGGTTTAAAAACACGACCTGCAACAATGCCACTGAGCCTTCAATTCTGGATATAAGCAACTTTAACTTATTCATCGGATGGTTTTTTCCCCTTTGTTTTTTTTGTACGACTAATTTTTTCCTACGGCTCACCTTGGACTTGTAGTCCTTGAGGTCCATATGGTCCTGGTGTCGGTACTGGTTGGTAAGTGGGACCAGGGGGATGATTTGTGGCCTCACCAGTGCCCTTTCAGCCAGAACTTCTGCCATAACCTCACCACCAAAGTCTGACATGACATTTCTGGATGAAAAGGAGAGGATAACTTCACATTTTAACCCCAAAGTACACCAATGGATGGGTGAAAAAAAAAGTAGTAACAAGTAAATATCTGCTATCAAGGTGCTTTAACTTATGTAGCAACATCCTCTGGGTGCAACCTGGAGGCTGGCTCACCTCTTCTCAAAAATCTCCAGTGTGAGGTGCAGCAGCTCTCGCTTGCTCTTCTCCCTCCTCTTGATCATTTCCAGGATTGTGACGGCTCGGCTGAGATCTCTGCGGAGCTTCAACATCTTCTCGTACGAGGCCTCGTCGTTTTTACGGTTCTAAGATGTAAAGCGAAATTTACAAAAACAGGGATAAGTAATAAAAACAATCCCCAAAAGCAACACTGATTGTATAGGACTGCGGAAATGCAGAACTAAAAATTAGCAACAGTAATTGAGAGCACCGACCTTCCTAGTTTGCATCTTCTCAGTGCGTCGTCGGAAGGCCACGTAAGGGTCACTGGTGCTTGAGCCGTCCCGTTTCTCCTGCTTGACGGTGGGGATGAGGGAGTTGGCTTTGCTGTTTTTCCTCTTGCGGCTCCAGTAGTCAAAGACCTCTTTGATGAGCTCATCATCCTCTTTCAGCAGCAGTTTGGCCTCAGGAAGACTCACAGCCTGCGAGGGCAACAAAGGAGATAAATACAATCACGTTAGAGAGCAGTGAGGGTGAAAAATCTGACACTGCCTACCATCAGTGGTTTCAAGTTAGTGATAGTAACTAATGCAGTCTTAAAAACTTCTTTAACCAGTGAATCTCACTTTGGAACAAACCTGATATGAATTTGTCTGCAAAATATTTTTTACACTTCTAACCTGCTGTCCACTGCCTTTCTCCAGCCGGTCAATCATTTCCTCAAACTGCAGGTAGCTGATCTCCATCTTCTTTTTCAGCTTGTTGACAAAGGCCTCATCATCTGAGTCCAGGTCGTAATCTGGCTGCTCTGTGTCCAAGCTGAAAGCTGCATGAGGGAGGCAACAAATAAATAAATACGTTTATTTTTATTTAACTACAAGGAACGATACAAAGCATTTAGATTGTTTCTGTACAAGTTCACACAAGTTTGCTTTGGTCTCACTAAAACATACA